TTCAGATGTTTGGCGGCACCGACAACAAAGGGACATGGGTTTTCTCATCGGATAGTTTTCGTTTCTTGCTCAACTTCTAAACAGAAGTTTGAGTCGTCAGTTCGTGAAGTTCTGCATGATGCCAAGAGAGCAAGCCCCCCCCACACAATGTGTCAGCAGTGAACAGCATTCGATTCAGCCGAACTTCACAATTCGATGATGCACGGAAGGCTCGCAAGTCCCACAAGAGATTTTCGTGCTGCCCATACTGCGTAAACCTGCACAAGTTCGACGACTTGCATTGGGTGCCAAGTAGTAGGCACAGGCGCATCCAGATATGTCAGCAGCATGCAGCTGCATATATGGACACAACATGACACAACGATGGGGACGTACCAATTACCATGGCATCCAGCAAAAAAGTGGAGGATGCACGAGGCCAGTGCGTAGCCAGAGAATAGGATGGCCGTCGCCGATTGCTTGCCCTGTTTGAGCAGTCGTCCTCTTTAACGTGTTTCAAGGCGTCAGCTGCCAGAAACGTGTCGAAAGAAGAGTCCCTGATGGGGGTCTAAGTTGTGATTGGCCCTTCGCGCCCGCAGGTTGGTGCGTGGATCCCTAGAAAATTCACGCCATACCTGCTGGATGCCAGGGGTTTTGAGATCTGTTCTGGATTTTCCATCACTAGTGCGCCCATTGCCTATGAAGACTTCATCGAGCATACTCAGTTACGACTGCTTGTCAGAAGATCTCGGATTAAGTCGCACTGGGATGGCTGGTCCGATCTGGGAGGTATCGCTGCTCGCCAGCGCCCAGACGGGACTTATCCTCGTGTGCGTCCAAGTCGGCGCAGTAGATACCGGAGATTAAAGACTCGCACAGACCGAGTGTGTTTCAAGCTGCGGAAAAAGCCTTCCATGTGAGTTGATGGCTGCCCCGGAGCATCACCACCTGCTTCTGCCTATGTTTAATTGGAGCCTCTACCTGTTGCTTGGAAAAGGCTTTTTTGGCTTCCCAAATGTGCCTGTCCAAGGCCGGAGCGATTCCACGCAGAGGACCCCATCTATGGTTGTAGAGAACATGTTCGTGCTGTGCCTTCTTTGTTTTCCCTTTCCTATCCTCCTGGACTCCTCATCCTCCGCCATTTGATGTTGAGTGTCATCGAAAAGCGTGCCAATTGTCAGGCCAAGGACCAGGATATCAATGACAGCGGAAAGCCGGGGCCCCAGCCTGACCAAGGCAGGCGGAGCAGGCCTACCATCACGAACTTCGCGAAGTTATGCACATGAATGGTATGAATCCGTGCTAGAAAAGTGCGAGGCTGATGGAGCTTTTCAGCCTTTTGTCAGGAGCCCAGCTTCAAGAAAGACAAAGTTAGTGCAAGGACCGGACCCGCCAAATCGCTGACGTCCAAATTCATTCCCTCGCGTGAGGACAGCGAGACCTGCACTAAATGCCCATTCGTAGGACATAAGAAGGTGAGCAAAGGTTTCGGACCGAGTTCAAGCCCTCCCCCAGTTCAAGCCATTTGCTATTTCTCCGGGTCGGGGGCAAGACGAAGAACCGGAAGGTCACGAGAGAAAGCATGTTTGGGCAATCTTCTCAGCAGGAATGAATTGAAGCACGCACGAACTGAACAAAGCAGCCCGTCAACAGCAAACCAGGATTATTCTGAAAACAGATGGTAGTGATGTTCTCCAGGCGTAATTCCTAAATCACTTCGCAGCAGTTGATCCAAAAGGCATTGTCATTGCACATGCAAGGCGTGGCATCATCACTCGAAGAGACAAAGCTGGGAACTGAAATGCATGGCTGGTAAAGCCTTTCCCACTATGGCAAACAGACATGCTGGCATCAAGCTTAGGTATGTTGCTAATGGGGTGCGATGTAGGCATACATGCTGGCATGAGAGTCCATGATCGGAAGCAGCTGGGCTCACGTGGTGGGCCTTTAGCATCGCTCCGTCCAAGGTACTCGTTTTCTTCTGTCGCACCGTCGCCAGCTCAGTACGGAGCATGATCATGTGGTAATGGGAGTGAAGCAGAACGCCGCCTTGACTTCGCCACCCTCGTTTGCTCTGGGACCCGGATCCGGACAGGGACCAAGGGACCCTGACTCACACCCGGGCTTCAACCGACTTTGTCGCAGCCTGCATGTTGGCCTAGATAATTCAGCCCCTCCAGTCGTATCTGCATGCCAACGCAGATGCTTACGTGCATGCTTCCGTGCCTCGCACATGATTGCGTGCGATGACATCCTTCCCACACTTTGCACTCAAGCACCTATGACAGCAAAATGCAGAAGAAACATGCCATTGTATCAGAATGTAGTAACTTGAGTAGCTGACCTTTGTCTCATGAGGGGTCGTTTCAGCGACTAAGAGACCTTGGCAGTAGAAGGTTGCATCGTTTGCTTGGCCCAGCTTCAGAATGATTTGCTCTGCTTCAGGTATCCGCAACAATTAACATGTGGAACATAGAAGCCTATAGGCGCGTCCTGCGCAGGCCACAAGCACACTTCTCGCAGCGCTCATGGCAAGGGAGCAAGGGACTCAACTGAAGCTTCACGTAGAGCCGACCCACTTTCTTTCTCCAGCCTCGCCTCGCCCGGGCCGTCGACCAGCCTGTCGGGTCACGCTTCATGCTCAGGTTCGGCGTTCGGCCGGGAATTTTGCGCGGAGTGCCGGCCTTGGCAGAGTAGGATGCGGACGGGTCGTGCAATTGAGCTCACGTGTTCCTGCTTGCAGCCTTGAGGACACGCCCCACGCAGAGCGTGAGCGCATCGTGCGAGAGTTCAAGGCAAAACCAATCCCTGGAGAACCTCACTCTCAGGCGCGCCCCGCGCCCTCCAAAGCCTTGTCATGTGGATTCGCACAGTGGCATAGGTTCTGGAAGCTTGAATGCTTGCACTCAGTTAAGAGCGTCAAGAGCGAAGTCTTCCCACTCTAGTTCCTGGCAGGTGTTGCTGCTTTCTGTCTGGGTGGGCGCTGTAGGTCACCACCTCAGCAGGCAGAAAAGCATCGAGCAACATGTGCTTCATGTGGCAATCTCGCTTTGTCGGGTGTGGCTGAGACAGCTCGTTCACACTTTGCTGGCAGAGCCTCCGTGTACGATCTTGTACGTGCGGTATGAAGGAGCCGCAGTGCTTCAGAACCCTCATGCTGAGGCCTGAACTTGCCTGAAGCGCGGTGGGTAAGCAGCTTAGAATAGCTTAGACGATCGGGATCGGCACTTAGTGAGAGGCAATGCAACAACTTAGGTGGTGCACGTTGAACGTGTCTGGAATCCGGCACTAGAACGTCAGGCGCTGTCGAAGTCTCGGAAGCAATGCATTTGAAGCGCGGTCTTTTTTATGCTGGTCTAGGGTTGTAAGGGGACCGACACGAAGATTTGAAAACAACAATTTCAGTTGGAAAACGATAGGCCACTCACCAAAAACGATAGGTCGAATTTTCATACAACTAAAGTTGTACTACCAGAGAAGGAAATTCCATCCGGTTGCCGGAAACGGCCGTTCCAGTACTAAAGTTGTACTACCAGAGAACGAAAATGCATCCGATTGCCGGAGACGGCCCTTTTAGTACTAAAGTTGTACTACCAGAGAACGAAAATCCATCTGGTTGCCGGAG